CTGCAGCCATCACGTCTCAGCCGGGCACTCCGGAGGTGACGGCGGTGGCCAAAGAGCACGTGGTCATCGAGTGGCTGAAGCCCGAGACGGACGGAGGCAGCGAGATCAAGACGTACCTGGTGGACAAGCGAGAGAAGAGCAGCACCAGGTGGACCCGGGTCAACAAGAACTACACGATCTACGACACCCGTCTGAAGATCGCCGGGCTGCTGGAGGGCAGCGAGTACCAGTTCAGGGTGACGGCCGTCAACGCTGCTGGAGACAGCACGCCGAGCGACGCCTCGCCCTACATCCTCTGCAAAGACCCCACATGTAAGAGAGAATAGAATCTGTTCATGTCATTATACATGTACAATGCTTCTGCCGTCAAAACAAAAACATCACAACATACAACAACAAATCCACGCATCCATTTATTCCTAGTATTTTATGTTTTGTCTTTATGTGTTTTGAGGCTGCTGCAATGCAAACATGTCCCAAACGAGGATCAATAAAGTGCTTATCTAATCTTATCTTGTGAAAAGCTTTATTGATGGCTCTGCTTCCCCACAGACACCCCGGCTACTCCCTCCATGCCTCGCATCACGGACACCACGAAGCACAGCATCAGCATGAAGTGGACGCGCCCGATGTACGACGGCGGCAGCGACGTCTGCGGCTACGTGGTGGAGATCCTGGAGGAAGGGACGGAGCAGTGGTACCGCGCCACCGCCAAGGCCCTGAAGACCAATGAGTACGTGGCCGCCGGACTCGCCTCCAACAAGAGGTACCGCTTCAGAGTCGCCGCCATCAACAGCAAGGGAACCGGAGAGTTCAGCGAGCCCAGCGCCGAGGTGGAGCCGCTGGAGAGGATCGGTGAGTCAGGGAGGAAAACAATTACACACAAATAAAGATTCTTCTTCATCCGTCTTCAAATGACACACAAAGACTTCAAACAGAAGTAGACACCTTCCTTTTTGCACATTGCACTTCTCTGAGCAGATGAACTAGCTAAGAGATAATTCGTGGCTCTCATCATTTTGTTAAGAGTTGTTATTAAACATCGTATGGTTAACCTTGCCCTTTCTCTGGAAGTGTAAGGTTGATAGAGCCGGAGACTCTTAGCAATGTAACAGCACAAACAGTAAGACAAGTGGAAGTGCCCAAGAGCACTAGGATAGTATTATTATTAATGACTTCCTCAATCTTCTGCAGAGATCCCAGACCTGGAGCTGTCGGACGACCTGAAGAAGACGGTGTGTCTGCGTGCCGGTGGGACGCTGCGCCTGGTGGTGTTCGTCAGCGGCCGCCCCGCCCCGGTGATTTCCTGGAGGAAGACGGGGGTTGAGCTGCAGAGCCGTGGACACATCGAGAACACGGAAAGCTACACCGCCCTGACGGTGGAGAAGGTCAGCCGCTACGACTCCGGGAAATACATCGTGGAGGCGGAGAACCCGTCGGGAAAGAAGAGCGTCGTGGTGCTCGTCAAAGTCTACGGTACGACACAGAGAGGCGTCACACAGGGAGACGTGGAGAACACAGAGATACCAGCTTCATGTTATTCTGGGTTTAATTTACTTTAGAAACGGGCAAATGAAAAGACATCTAGCCGTGAGATGACTTATTGTATTTCTGTAGTCCACAGAATCTTTTTAAAAAGGAATATTGAGATCCTGGAAGAGTCACACCTTAAATAAACAATGCATGTAATACAAAGTCAACCTAACATCTCCTCCCCCCTCCTGCAGACACGCCCGGCCCCCCCACCTCTGTGAACGTGAAGGACTACACCAAGGAGTCAGTGGTGATCACCTGGGACGTTCCCAGCATGGACGGCGGCGCCCACGTCAGCAACTACATCGTGGAGAAGCGCGAGGCCAGCATGAAGTCTTACAAGACGGTGACCACGGAGTGCAGGAAAACGCTGCTCCGCATCACCGGGGTGGAGGAGGGCGTGCACTACTTCTTCAGAGTGCTGCCGGAGAACATCTACGGCGTGGGCGAGGCCTGCGAGACCCTGGAGGCGGTGCTGGTGTGCGAGGTGCCGTCGGTGCCGCTCGACCTGCAGCTGGTGGACGTCAACAAGTCGTCGGCCACGCTGCGCTGGGAGCGGCCGCTGCGCGACGGAGGAAGCCGCATCAACGGCTTCTCCATCGAGGCGTGCAAGGTGGGGTCGGAGAGGTGGACCGCGGTGGCCTCCGTGAAGGCGTCGGCGTCTCAGCACACCGTCACCGCGCTCACCGAGAACGACCAGTACCTGTTCAGGGTCAGAGCCACTAACAGCAGGGGGGCCAGCGAGCCCATGGACACCGTCACCCCCGTCACCATCCAGGACATCAAGGGTGAGACACACATCTCATTACAGAACTGGGACGTGGCTATAACCTGGAAAAAGCTTAAATAGTATTCAAAGTGATTTCATGAATTGGTTAAAATGGCTTGAATCAAATTATTAATAAATTGGAGCTAGGGTTTCTAAGGTTATTATATTTTTGTAAAATAGCTAAATAATGAGTATTATCTATTGCTTCTGTCTTTAACGTTACGCAGGTTTCGATAGAACAAAAAACGTGTACATTTTATTTTGATTAGCATTTTAAAAAGTTTTAAATAGAGTGTAATCTAGACTGTAGGAATACTGACACACATCAGCAAGAACCTGATCCTTTTACAAACTTTCCTTTTTTTAATACTGTTTTACATTTTTAAAGAAAACTGAAACACATTTTTCCTTTTTTGACATTTTTTGACACCCAAATGTATCCAACATGTTCAGTTTTTAGAAATGGATAATTAGTAGTTGGGACTGCAAGACCAACAAATACAATATTTGGATGATATGGATATTTATATTCTAGTTATATATTTACAACCACAAAAAAAGTCCAACTTCTGGCCATTTGCCCGTCTTTGTTGCACCACCATCCCTAAAAGATAGACAAGCATCCCAGAGATAATTCATTATAGCAAGCCCCCCTCTCTCTTTGTGTTTAGTGATGCCAAAGATCGACATGACCAGCATCCCGCAGAAGATCGTGTACGTTCACCGGGGGAAACCCATCGAGCTGAACCTGCCCGTGGTGGCCCAGCCGCTGCCCGTCTGCTCCTGGTCCTTCTCCGGAGAGAAGCTGAAGGACAGCCTCGACCGCATCAAGATCGACGGCAGCCGGCTGACGGTGCGCGACACGACCATCAACGACACCGGGGACTACGCCCTGGAGGTGAAGAACGCCCTGGGCAAAGCCAGAGAGGTCATCAAGGTCATCATCCTCGGTAAGAGACACTGAATATCAAAATATATCTTTAGTGGTAGAGATTGAGATTTACTAAATTCATTAAAATTATTCTTTTTTTATTTTGTGTCTCCAAACATTTACATATTCATTTATAATGTGCTCACAAAAACGGAATTGTATTTATTTGTATTATTAAATGACGTGCGATTCATTAAATATCCCATTCCTCCGGTGTCCCCTCAGATAAGCCCGGCGTCCCGGTGGGCCCGGTCCGGATCGAGGACGTGGACGGGCTGTCGGTGACGACCAGCTGGGATCCTCCGGAGAAAGACGGTGGAGCCAACGTGACGGGCTACGTGGTGGAGCAGCGCGACGCCCACCGGCCCGGCTGGTTCACCGTGTCCGAGTCCGTGACCCGGCCCTGCTACAAGTTCTCCCGCCTCTCCGAGGGAACCGAGTACGTGTTCCGCGTCGCCGCCATGAACCGCTTCGGAGTCGGAAGGTTCCTGCAGTCGGAGGTGGTCGAGAACAAGAGCCCCAAGAGTGAGTCCATCTCATCTCAGTCTTATTGAGGGCTTCCTGTTGGGGTCAAGGGTTCATTATCCACATCCTGCAACACGGGACTGTATCTTTAGAGAAAACAACAAATAAAACACTAGAGAACAACAACAACAACAACAACCAGCTAGCAGTTAAAACCAATTGGAGATGTAATCATGGTTTTGATGCATGCAGGACTTTAATCTTTATCCACCCAACACCAGCAAAGCTTCACAGTTAAGATCAAAGCGTTTGGGACGGTCCCTCCTCCCTGCTGTCCTTTAGTAATGAAGCTCAGCTTGATTTAAATGCAAAACATAAAACATGAAGAGGAACAATGACATCAGTTAAATGAGTCATGTTTAATCTCAGTTTGAATTTGATGTCTCTCTAGAACTCTTTGTTTTAGCAGGTTTCCAAATGACAGTTTTAAACCACGACTTTGAGCTTGAACTAAACCCCTGTTCCCCCCCACAGCGATCCCCGGCGCCCCCAGCCAGCCGGAGGTCCTGGATGTGACCCACGAGGGCATGACGCTCACGTGGTTCGCCCCCGAGGACAACGGCGGCTCCACCATCGCCGGATACATCATCGAGCGTAAGGAGGCGCAGTCGGAGCGCTGGATGAAGATCAGCAAGAACCCGGTCACCATGACCCGGTTCCGCTCCTCCGGGCTCACCGAGGGCCAGGAGTACGAGCACCGCGTCACCGCCATCAACTCCCGGGGCGAGGGGAAGCCCAGCGAGGCCTCCGAGATCACCGTGGCCATGGACCCCATCGGTACGGGAAGAAATCAGCTTCATTAACATCTTGTTTTTTAACTAGAGACCCTTTCCATACGCACGTCAACATGCCTTAACAATCTGAACAACAACAAACTAAACATTACAAGAATCGAGTTATTTAACATTTAGACTTTTCTAAACATGCTGCATTTTAGGATAATATATATAAATACCCTCTAATGCCCCAGTGTATTAACAGTATTCTCTCTACCTGTGTCACTATATAAATACCCTCTAATGCCCCAGTGTATTAACAGTATTCTCTCTACCTGTGTCACTATATAAATACCCTCTAATGCCCCAGTGTATTAACAGTATTCTCCCCACCTGTGTCACTATATAAATACCCTCTAATGCCCCAGTGTATTAACAGTATTCTCTCTACCTGTGTCACTATATAAATACCCTCTAATGCCCCAGTGTATTAACAGTATTCTCTCTACCTGTGTCACTATATAAATACCCTCTAATGCCCCAGTGTATTAACAGTATTCTCCCCACCTGTGTCACTATATAAATACCCTCTAATGCCCCAGTGTATTAACAGTATTCTCTCTACCTGTGTCACTATATAAATACCCTCTAATGCCCCTGTGTATTAACAGTATTCTCTCTACCTGTGTCACTATATAAATACCCTCTAATGCCCCAGTGTATTAACAGTATTCTCTGTGTCTCAGACCCCCCTGGAGCTCCTCTCCGCCCCACCGTCACAGACACCACCCGCTCCTCGGTGTCTCTGGCCTGGCAGCCGCCGGAGGAGGAGGGCGGTGCCGCCGTCACCGGGTACTTCATCGAGATGCAGAAGGTGGACCAGGTGGAGTGGACCCTGTGCAACACCACCCCCACCAAGATCTGCGAGTACACCCTCACTCACATGCCTCAGAGCGCCGAGTACAAGTTCAGAGTCATCGCCTGCAACCCTGGAGGAACCGGGGAGGCAGCCGAGGTGCCGGGGGTGGTGAAGGTCCAGGAGATGCTGGGTGAGTGGAGACTGATTGAACACATCGAAGGAACTCAATCCATTCTACAATCTGCTAAAGAAAAACATGGAATCTACTTTTTGCATTATTACGACAACTTTACAAACTTTGTTTCTGACTTTTTTTAAAGTATTTAAAAAATATAACAGATACAAAATAAATCTCCAGATATTTAACTTTTCTTTAGTTTAGTAACTATTACTACTTGTTTGACTTCCATTGAATTATTCAGAGAAATTATTATGACTTTTCCCAAAATATGACATAACAGTTTCAGATTTAATCTTCCTTATTTTTTTTAATATTTTAACCGTTTTTCTCTATATATTACAACTTTAAAAAAGATGTTATACAATTCTTTCTGTTTCCTCTGTAGAAACCTCTGACTCTAACATGTCAACAACATGAGAAGAGAACATGAATATTCATCACACTGAGATATTGCCTCATTTGCATATTAAACGTACGTGTAATCCGTGTTCCCTGCAGGCTACCCCGACTACGAGCTGGATGCTAAGTACGAGGAGGGCTACGTGGTGCGGCAGGGCGGCGTCATCCGCCTGTCCGTGCCCATCAGAGGGAAACCCATCCCGTCCTGCAAGTGGACGAAGGACGGCCGCGACATCGCCCACCGCGCCATGATCGTCTCCAACGACGACGTCACCGAGCTGGTGATCAAAGAGGCGCACAAAGACGACACGGGCTCCTACGACCTGGTGCTGGAGAACAAGTGCGGCAAGAAGGCCGTCTACATCAAGGTGAGGGTGCTCACTGACTCTGGGGGGGGGGGGGGCTACAGGGTTATTATGGGATATATCGCAACATTGTGAAAGAACCCCCAAACCCAACTTTCATCCCTGACATTTAACCCTTTACCACTCAATGTTAGGATACAACCCAAACTAATTCTCAGCAAAGCAAACTCTTTTCCTAAATTGTAACCAATATAACTAAATTTAAAGCCCAATTCATCGCCAGATGTATAGAATAGATATAATCCCCAAAAATAAAACCCACTAATTTCCTAATATAATAACCATATTATCTAACGCTATTTATAAAGGTACAAAATCCCAACTAAAACTAGCAACACTCCGAAAAATCTACTGTCCAATTAAGAGAAAAAACTATACAGACCACTTATTATTTAGCCCAATAAACCAGATATAAATAACAGCCCTAGATTATCGTTCATCTATCCTAAATGATCTGTCTCTGGGGTTTATTTTATTTCTTTTTACTTTGGAAACATTCCGGCTGTTTTAGGTACATTGGTGAGGCCTTTCCACACTCGAACGCGGACATTGAGGGGAGGGGGGGGCTCTGGCGCGGGAGAGGGGGACGTATATAATACATAACATTGTAACATATAATAAGGGATTGAAACTAGAAAAAATACTTTTAATTGTTATTAAAACTGTATTGTGTTACCAAAATGAAATCGATGTTGGTCAAAGAGTCTTCAAGTTCTTGGCAAAGTTGGTGGTGTGTGTGTCATTGTGTATGAGAGTGTGTGAAGGTGGCTCTATGGAGGTAAGTTGTAAACAGCGTGTCTGAGAATGTTATGAACGTTTCCCCCACTCCCCCCCCTGCGCTCAGGTGGAAGGTGTCTATGGATGTTAAGTTGGTAACTAAAGCGTTGTCTGTAGATGTTATTGAACGTTCCCCCTTCTCTCGCCCCCTCAGGTGAGAGGTGCTCTGTGAGGAATAAGTTTGGTAAACTACAAAGCGGCTTGTCTGTAGACATGTTAGTTGAACGTTTCCCCCCCTCCCCCCCTCTCAGGTGAAGGTGCTCTATGGAGTAATTGGTAAACTAAAGCGTTGGTCTGTAGATGTTATTGAACGTTTCCCCCCCTCCCCCCCCGCCTCAGGTGAAGGTGATCGGCCGCCCCGATGTTCCTGAAGGTCCTCTGGAGTACACGACATCCAGGTGGCGCTCAGTGCGCGTCAGCTGGAGGCGCCTTCAGACGACCGGAGGATCCGACATCCTGGGCTACGTGGGTGGAAGGAAGGGAGTGCCCGAAGGCGCTGGTGCACCGTGGACTCCCGGGTCACCGAGACCTCTCTGGTGGTGAAGGGTCTGAAGAGAACGTGCATACCACTTTCAGGATCTCTGCGGAGAACCAGTTCGGACTTCAGACAACCTGCTGGATGCCGAACTGGTTCTCCGCAGAGATCCTGAAGTGGTAAATGCACGTTCCCTTCAGGAGCCCTTCACCACCGAGAGGTCTCGGTGACCCCGGAGTACGTGCACCAGGCGCCGGGTCGGACTCCCTTCCGTTCCACCACGGTAGCCCAGGGATGTCGGACCTCCGTCGTCTGAAGCGGCTCCAGCTGACGCGCATGAGCGCACCTGGATCGTGTTACTCAGAGGACCTTCAGGAACCCATCGGGGGCGGCAATCACCTTAACCTTGAGGGAGGGGGGGGAGGGGGGGAACGTTCAATAACTCTACAGACAACGCTTAGTTTCCAAAATTACCACATAGAGCACCTTCACCTGAGGGGGGGGAGGGGGGGGAACGTTTAATAACATCTTAGCAGACAACGCTTTGTTTCCACTTACGCCATGAGGACTTCACCTGAGGGGGGGGGGGGGAGGCGGGGAACGTTCAATACTCTAACAGACAACGCTTTAGTTACACTTTCTCCTAGAGTCACCTTTCACTGAGGGGGGGGGGGGGAGGGGGGAAACGTTCAATAACATCGTACAGACACGCTTTAGTTTGACCAACTTCCTCCATAGGCACCTTCACCTGAGGTGGGGGGGGAGGGGGTGGAAAGTTTGGTAAACGAAAGCGTCTTGTCTGTAATGTGATTGAACGATTTCCCCCCTCCCCCCCCCCTCAGCGTGGTAGGTTGCTGTATGGAAGTTGGGTAACTAAAAGCTTGTCTTGTAGCATGTATTGAACGGTTCTCCGCCCCTGGCCCCCCCCCCCTCAGGTGAAGTGCTCTAGGAAGTTAAGTTCGGTAACTAAAGCTTGTCTGTGATGTATTAACGTTTCCCCCCCCCCCCCCCCTAGGTGAAGGGTGCTTCTACTGATAGTAGTTGGTAATCTAAGAGCGTAGCTGCGCCGTCGGTTTCGAGGTGTAGATGTTATTGACGTTTTTCCCCCCCTCCCCCCCCTCCTCAGGTGAAGGTGATTGGCCGCCCCGATGTTCCTGAAGGTCCTCTGGAGTACGACGACATCCAGGTGCGCTCAGTGCGCGTCAGCTGGAGGCCGCCTTCAGACGACGGAGGATCCGACATCCTGGGCTACGTGGTGGAGAGGAGGGAGGTGCCGAAGGCCGCCTGGTGCACCGTGGACTCCCGGGTCACCGAGACCTCTCTGGTGGTGAAGGGTCTGAAGGAGAACGTGCAGTACCACTTCAGGATCTCTGCGGAGAACCAGTTCGGCATCAGCAGGTGTCTGAAGTCCGAGGAGGCCGTCACGCCCAAAACACCTCTGTGTGAGTATCTGTCAGAACGGCTGAGATCCATTCTGTGACACGAACGCTTATTTAGTCACATTTAATCCTTACTTTGTACTTCCCTGTCTTCCACACATCTGTAAACACTTGATGATGAATCATTGTAATAAAGTTGTACAGGAAAGCTTCATTTTAATGTAAAAGCTCCAATAGTTCAGGTCCCTTTTTATATTTGGACAGATATCTTGAGTTATAAGCTGATAAAAAACAATATAAATGATCAGCTGTTCTTAAAGATTTCACTCACACCTAATATCCCCCTCCAGGCCCACCAGAGCCCCCCAGCAACCCCCCGGAGATCATGGAGGTCACCAAGACCACGGTGGCCCTGTCCTGGGCTCGGCCGAGGGACGACGGCGGCTCCAGAGTCACCGGCTACTACGTGGAGAGGAGGGAGGTGTCCACGGAGAAGTGGGTCCGCCACAACAAGACCCACATCACCACCACCATGTACAACGTCTCCGGACTCATCCCCGACGCAGAGTACATGTTCAGGGTGGTCGCGCAGAACGACATCGGCAAGAGCGAGGCCGGACCCCCCTCGGAGTCCGTGGTCTGCAAGGATCCATTCGGTGAGACCACGGGACGGGGGTGTTTCTGCAGGAATACTTTGATATGGTTTACATTCAAAACATGGTCCTGAAAGAAGTATTCTTCCTAAGCAAAATGTGTTTCTGCAGGAATTCACTAAGAGTCGTCTTTATGCAACACCTGAGAGGAATCTTCCTATTCTTATTTTATTTCTCCGTTTGCCTTATTTACAGATGTTTTAAATTGTGACAGAATACATCATATTAACGTCATGAAAGCTTGCAGAGTTTAGAAACAAAGGTATATTTGCTGGATTGCAATCAATGCAGACCATTTCTCAGAATGTTCCCACAAATCCTGGTGCTTTTGATGACAGTAAGCGCCTCAAATACATTTTTGAGGTTTTTTCTTAATCACATAAAGTATATAAGGTATTGGAAAATGGCATATTTTCAGTATGGGCAACCATAAGCTACAGTTACTCTAGGGCTATGTGTTTATGTTTAAGTGGAATCGTGGGTTTCTGTAGAACTGGGTTTACACACAAAAGAAGTTCTAATCCCCTCCCCCTCTGTCTCCCTGCAGACAAACCCAGCCAGCCCGGTGAGATCGACATCATCTCCATCACCAAAGACTGCATCACCATCCACTGGCAGCGGCCCGAGCTCGACGGAGGCAAAGAGATCCTCGGCTACTGGATCGAGTTCAGGGAGGCCGGAGAGAGCGCCTGGAAGAAATGCACCAAGGAGCGCTCCAAGGACCGGCAGTTCACCATGGGCGGCCTGATGGAGGCCACCGAGTACGAGTTCAGGATCTTCGCCGAGAACGAGACCGGACTCAGCCGACCCCGCCGCACACCCATGGGCATCAAGACCAAACTGAGCGGTGAGCGGACGCAGGATTCAGGAGCTTTTATGAGATTTCTAGGCCCCTAAAATATTGTTTGATAATGTTTTGAAAGTTTATTTTTTTCAGAAATGAAAATACAATCTCGAAAAGTAAATACAGCAAAGATAAATCGGCCTGTAATCCTGGGGTAATTCCGTGAGCGAGCTTAGTGTGCAGAAATGATCAATATGGGCTAGCTAGTCAATCACCATTATTATTTAAATACTTTATATATATTTTATGCACCAAATGCACCAAGGCCACCTTACGCTGTATTGTTTGCCGAGACATACTTTTTATAAATATCAGTCAGGGGTCCCTGATTTTAAAGGGTATTTAGCCCCAACGTTAAAACGTTAAAGGCCACTGCTTTAAAACATGCTCGTTAGTGAGTTAATTCCAATGCTGTAATCAGTGAATTCTCTCACAGGAACAAAATAAACCCCACAAGCAGTTTGTGATGCGTCCTGGGTTGTTTGACAGTAAATAATGTGCATATTAAAATGGTTTTATAATAATTTAAGAATGGAAACATACAGATTGTAAACGTTTTATATTTAATTGAATATGTTCTGATGTTCCTGCAGTTGGTGAGGCTCCCGCTCTGAAGGAACTGATGGAAGACGTCACCACGAAGCTCGGGGAATCCGGCACTCTGACCTGCGCCATCGTCGGCCGCCCGCTGCCCGAGATCAGGTGGTACCGTTACGGCAGGGAGCTGATCCAGAGCCGCAAGTACAAGATGAGCTCGGACGGCAGGAACCACTCAATTAGCGTCCTGACAGACGAGCAGGAGGACGAGGGCGTTTACACCTGCCGCGCCGTCAACGAGGCCGGCGAGGTCGAGACCAGCGGAAAGCTGCGCCTTCAAGCAGCGCCGCAGTTCCACCCCGGCTTCCCTCTGAAGGAGAAGTACTACGCCGGCGCAGGAACCAGCCTCCGCCTCCACGTGGTCTACATCGGACGTCCCATCCCTCAGATCATGTGGTTCTATGACAAGAAGCCTCTGACCACATCGGCGAGCGTGATCATTGAGAACACGGAGAGCTACACCCACCTGGTGGTGAGGAACGTGCAGAGGAAGACCAACGCCGGCCGCTACAAGGTGCAGCTCAGCAACGTGTACGGCACAGTCGACACGTCGCTGCGCGTGGAGATCCAAGGTAACAACACACCACTGAGAGTCTAAATATGAAATAGTTTAGTCTTCAAGTGAAAACAGATTTGAATGAGAGTCGATTTAAGTAAGTTGGTTTAGGGCAGGCTGTGCATGTTGGGGGTTCCCAAAGGTCCTTAAAAAGGTTTTCAAAGACATGAAGTCCCAACATAATGTTTGAAGGTGTGAATTTAAAATAAATGTTGATTGGTCTTGTCCAATTTTAGACATTGGTCGAAAAACGTGCATTATTTACAAAAGATTGTATTTTCAGCAGTCTAAACTCATAATACCCCTGACTGAGCAGTTTTTAATTTAAATATATTTCAATGCATTCCCACAGATAAACCATGCATCCCTGAGGGCCCTCTGGTTGTTGAAGCCCTGCTGAAGAGCTCCATGGTCATCAGCTGGAAGGCTCCCAAGGACGACGGAGGCTCCATGATCACCAACTACATCGTGGAGAAACGTGAGGCCAAGGAAGGTGAGGTGTGGAACCTGGTGTCCTCCTCCGTCTCTGGCACCACCTGCCGAGTCCCCAACCTGATAGAAAACGCCGGATACTACTTTAGAGTCTCTGCGCAGAACCAGTATGGAGTCAGCGAGTCTCTGGAGATCCAATCTGTGGTCATCGTCAAGAGTCCATTTGGTGAGTCCACACATATTTGCTTTGCTTTCTGCTGCATTGCAGAGACTATCTTAACCGTTAATGTGGAGCACTATTATAACATCCCCTGTGTGTTTCCTAGAAAAACCTGGCATCCCACAGCAGCCGTTCATCATGAGCTCCACCAACGACTCCTGCGTCGTCTGCTGGAAGCCTCCAAGCAGCGACGGCGGCGCTAAGGTCTCCAGCTACTACCTGGAGAAACGCGAGAAGAAACAGAATAAGTGGATATCCGTCACCAGCAACAAGATCCAGGAGACCAGCTTCGAGGTCAAGGCCTTGATCGAGGGCTTCGAGTACGAGTTCCGTGTCAAGTGCGAGAACTTGGGCGGCGAGAGCGACTGGAGCGAGATCTCAGCGCCAATCACCCCCAAGTCCGAACAATCCCCTCGCGCTCCCGCCTTCAGAGAGGAGATCCGGGACATGACAGCCAAATACAAGGCCAATGCCACATTCGTCACCAAGGTACTTTATTTAAAGTACACAGCATTTGATTTTAGGAATACACCAGCGGATGGATTTGATATAAAGGATCCTGTTTAAATGTCACAGTGTTGGTCAAATGTGCGTATGAAATAAAGGGTACCATCAGTGGCAACCATGTTGGACATTACAATAATTGCTTGGTTTCTCTTAATACATCATGTTATAAAGCCAATTTTGTATTGATTATCTATAATACTTCTAAAAAACACTCAAGCAGTTTCAATCAATTTCCTTAGTGAATTAATTGCAACATCCACATTTGAGGGACCACCATAGCTAACTTTGTTATCTCCCGATGACCAGGTGGTGGGACATCCCAAGCCTCTGGTGAAATGGTATCGCAGTGGAAAGGAGATCGAGGCTGATGGAACAAAAATTAAAGCCCAGGAGTTCAAGGGAGGCTACTTCCAACTGGTGATCATTGCCGCTGATGAGTGCGACGCCACCGTTTACCAAGTCAGAGCAACCAACTCCTCTGGCTCCATCTCTACCACCGCAAACCTGGAGGTGGAAGGTAATGATAGAGATTTGTGTTGCAAAAATAAAAATCATTCATGTTTTCTACAATCTATTAAGTGAAAAACATTATAAGTATACAACTAATGTCATATTTTTCTTTTTGTATTCCAGTTCCTGCCAAGATCCACCTTCCCAAGGAGCTCCAGGGAATGGGTGCAGTCAATGCTGCCCGTGGTGATAATGTCACCATCAAGATCCCCATCTCTGGCAAACCTGAGCCAGCAATCATTTGGCAGAAGGGTCAGGAGATCCTGTCCAACTCTCCATATCACCAAGTCATCACCACCAGGTCCTTCACCTCGCTGGTGTTCCAGAAGGGAATGGAGAGGAAGGATACCGGCTACTACATCCTGACCGCAAAGAACAGGTTCGGAACAGACAAGCAAACCATTGAGGTGAACGTGGCCGACATACCTGAACCACCAAAGGGACTGGTTGTCAGCGAAATCTCTCGAGACTCCATCACCTTGGCCTGGCAGCCACCTGCAAACGATGGCGGAAGCGACATCATTGGGTACATTGTGGAGAAGTGTCCCACAACCGCCGACAGGTGGATCCGTGCCGGACAGACCACCGACTGCGGCATCAACATCATTAACATATTCGGAAAGACCAAGTACCAGTTCAGAGTCATCGCCGAGAACCAGTTTGGCCTGAGTGCTCCTTGCCAGCCAACAGAGCCCATCACCACAAAGGAAGACAAGTCAGTGACTAGGAACTATGATGAGGAGGTGGACGAGACCAGAGAGGTCACCAAGGAGGAGGCTCTGGTCTACAAGGTGAAGGAGCTGACCTCCAAGTACGTAATCTCTGAGGAACTTGCCCGCTGCCAGTTTGGAATTGTCCACCGCTGCACGGAGATCGCCACAAAGAAGACCTTCATGGCCAAGTTCATCAAGGTGAAGGGAACCGACCGTGAGTTGGTCCTCAGAGAAATTGAAGCTCTCAACATAGCAAGGCACAAGAACGTCATCTACCTGCATGAATACTTTGAAAGCATGGAGGAGATCATCCTCATCTTTGAATTTATTTCTGGAGTTGACATCTTTGAGCGCCTTGGCACCAGCAGCTTTGAGCTGACAGAGCAGGAGATCGTCCGCTACCTGAGACAGGTCTGCTCTGCCCTCAAGTTCATGCATAGCAACAACTATGCACACTTTGATATCCGCCCAGACAACATCATCTACACCACAAAGAGAAGCACCACCGTAAAGATTATTGATATGGGCCAGGCTAGGCTGCTGGTGCCTGGTGAAAACATCAGAGCGCTGTTCTCAGCTCCGGAGTACTGCGCCCCTGAGATCCACCGCCACGACCTGGTCACAACGGCCACTGATATGTGGTCTGTTGGTGTGATGGCCTACGTTTTGCTCAGTGGCCTGAATCCGTTTGCCGGAGAGTCCATTACAAAGATGATCGAGAACATCTCCAGCTGTGAGTACATCTTTGATAGCGAAGCATTCAAGGACATCAGTCTGGAGGCTATGGACTTTGTGGACAGACTTCTAGTCAAAGACAGGAAGCTCCGTATGACAGCCCACGAGGCTCTGGAACACCCATGGCTCAAGATGAAGATTGAGAATGTCAGCAACAAGGTCATCAGGACATTGAAGCACAGAAGGTACTATCAGTCTCTTGTTAAGAGGACAGATACCATTGTATCATCAGCCCGTGTGGCCTATGGTGGCGCTTTCAAGAACCAGAGAGGATATGCTGTTGGTAAAGTGAAGATCGGAACCGAGTACCACGGCCTCCGCACGGGACCCGTCATGCACGGCTCCTCTGAGGAAGGTGGCCATATCAGATTCACTTGTAGCATCGTAGACTACAACAAGAGCACTCAGGTGTCATGGTTCTTTGGAAACCGCCAGCTCCATGCAAGCAACAAGTATGAAATCACTTACAGCAACGGATTTGCCAGCATCTATGTGAAGGACATTGAAGAGAGTGATAACGGAGTGTACAGGTGCAAGGTTGTGAGCGACGATGGAGAGGACAGTTCTTACGGAGAGCTGTTTGTTGAAACAGTGAGGAGCATCAGAGAGCATTACATCAGCCGCTCCATAAAGAAACTGAGGAAGAGAGTGGACCAGGCTAAACTCCTGCAGAGACCACCAGAGTTCACTTTACCTCTCTACAATCGCTCTGCCTACATTGGCGAGGATGTGCGTTTTGGTGTCACCATCACCGTGCACCCTGAGCCTCAAGTGGCATGGCTTAAAAACGGAGAGAGAATCAAACCAGGCGAGGATGACAGGAAGTACACGTTCACCAGTGATAAGGGTCTGTACCAGCTGATGATCCACAATGTGGATGCAAGTGATGATGCAGAATACACCGTCATGGCCCACAACAAGTTTGGAGAAGACAGCTGCGTAGCCCGTCTCACTGTGACACCTCATCCAGTGATGGAGGAAACAATGAGGCCCATGTTCAAACGCCTGCTGGCTAATGTGGACTGTGTGGAAGGAAACAGCGTCCGCTTTGAGCTTAGAGTCTCAGGAATCCCATCTCCTACTCTGAAGTGGAAGAAGGACGGTCATGCAATGGAGTTTGGCCCCAAGGTCGTTGTCATAGAGGAGGACGTTGACTACCATGTCCTGCACATCAGAAACACTCTGCTCGAGGACTCTGCTGTGTACCATGTTACTGCAACCAACTGTGCTGGATCTATAAGCTGCCAGGCCACACTGAAGGTGGACCGCCTTACCTATACCAGGAGGGAGTACAAGAGCGAGGAAGAGAAATACATGCACGTACAGAAACAAATCGAAAAGACCAACAAAATGGCTCGGAAAATTGTTGCCACGGAGGAGATGGTAGCTCTGAACCCCACGGCCCAGGACGCACTCAAGTTTGCTGCAGAGATGTATAAGCCTGCGGTGGGCACCAAGAACGTGGAGGGAGAGTTTGACATCACTGTGCAGAAGTCGGAGACTAAGAAGCTGGAAGAGGAGAGGAGGATTTTCATGCCCTATGAGATCCCAGAGCCTCAGATCCATGATCCCAAAGCTCTGGACGAGGACAAAACGATCAAACAGTTTGTGCCTCTTTCCGACATGAAGTGGTACAGGAAGCTGAGAGACCAGTATGTTGTTCCAGAGAGGATGGAGAAGATTGTGCAGAAGAGGCAGAGACGTATCCGCCTTTCCAGGTGGGAGCAGTTCTATGTTGTGCCCCTCCCCAGAATCACTGACCAGTACAGACCAAGATGGCGTATTCCAAAACTCAGTCTGGATGACCTGGAGACTGTCAGACCCGGCCGCCGTTCACCTTCTCCTGAATCCGAGGCTTCCTTCAGATCCAGAAGGAGATCTCTGGGAGACCTCAGTGACGAAGAGCTGCTGATGCCCGTGGACGACTACCTCTCCATGAGGAGAACCGAGGAGGAGAAGACAATGCTGGAGGACGAACTGGAGCTCGGCTTTTCTGCCTCTCCTTCCGGCAGCCCAGTACGCATGGAGGTGCGTGAAGAGAGAAGACATGTGGTCCGTCACGAGGCTGTGGAGGTCACACAGACCAAGAAGAAACGCACTGTTTCTCAGTTCATGAGGAGGAGGAGATCTCTGTCTCCCACATACATCGAGCTCATGCGTCCAGTCTCAGAGCTGATCAGACCATCTCGTGCTAGGACTGTGGAAGTACAGGGAGAGGTTGTGACGAGGAGATCCCCCACCCCGGAGAGGACACGCCCCCGATCTCCCAGCCCAATCAGGTCCGCCGAGAGGTCGTCCCGCTCTTCCTCCAGGTTTGAACGGACCGCCCGCTTTGACATCATGTCCCGCTACGAGGCCAGAAAGACAGCCCTGAAGTCCGAGAGGAAATACCAGGTGGTTAGCCAGACACCCTTCAGCCTGGACCATGCTCCCCGTGTGACCGTAAGGATGCGCTCTCACCGCATACCCATCGGCCAAGACACCAAGTTCACCCTGAACATCCAGTCCAAGCCCAACGCTGAGGTCAAGTGGTTGCACAACGGAAATGAAATCTTTGAGAGCAGCAACAAATATGTCTTCACCAACATGAGTGGAGTTCTGTCCATCGCTATTCTGGACTGCCAAGCGGAAGACAGTGGATCATACCGCTGCGTATGCTCCAACTCCAAGGGAGATGCTTCCGACTACGCCACCCTGGATGTGTCCGGTGGCGGCTACACCACCTTCTGCTCCCGCCGCAGGGATGAGGAAGTCATAAAGGGATTCGTCCCCGAAGTCACCAAGATCGACCACTATCACACCACTCACTTCAAAGCTGGCTATTCTGCCGAGAGCCACTTACAGGTGGAAGAGAGCAAGTCTAAGCTAACGGAGAAACATGAGGTTACCACACGGGAGAGATACGCCGCCTCCTCTGAGAGGTACTCCTCCGCTGAGAGGTACGATTCATCCATCAAGTTCGCAGCTGCTGAATACCTGTCATCTGATTCCTCCTACTCGTCAGAGAGGTTCTCCTTGTCTGCGCAACGCACCACATCTGAAGCTAAAGTGAAGTCAACCTCTGTCGGGGAAAGTGTCGTCCACAAAGTGGCGCCTTCTCTTCCTGCCAGGATGCTCACCAAGCCCCAGTCTGTGACCGTTTCAGAGGGAGAGTCTGCCAAATTCACCTTTGATATCGACGGAGAGCCTGCACCAACTGTAACGTGGATGCACGAGAGCCGGACCATCATCTCATCTCACCACGTCCAGGTCACCACCACTCAGTACAAGTCCAGCTTCGAGATCTCCTCTGTGACCATCTCCGATGAGGGCAGTTACACGGTTGTGGTCGAGAACTCGGCCGGCAGGCAGGAGGCTCACTTCACCCTGACCATCCGCAGACCAGCACCCACAGAGGAAGTCTCTGCAGTCAAATCCCCCACTCCCAGTGTCAAGTCACCAGAGCCTTCAGTCACATCACCGGCACCCTCTGCAACCTCCCCCGTGCCCAGCATCAAGTCCCCTGAGCCTTCAATTAAATCACCAACGCCGAGTGTAAAGTCACCAGAACCAAGTGTAACCTCACCTGTCCCGAGTGTGAAATCCCCGACGCCGAGTGTAAAGTCACCAGAACCAAGAGTAACATCTCCCGCGCCGAGCGTGAAGTCACCAACGCCGAGTGTAAAGTCACCTGAACCAAGTGTGACATCTCCCGCTCCGAGCGTGAAGTCACCAACGCCGAGCGTGAAGTCACCTGAACCAAGTGTAACGTCTCCTACTCCAAGTGTGAAGTCCCCAACACCAGGGGTCAAATCGCCCGAACCTGAGGGGGTTAGGTCACCACGGGGTGTAAAATCTCCTGAACCCAGGGTTAAGTCACCAACACAAGTCAAGACGCCGGAGAGAGTAAAGTCACCTGAACCAGAGGGAGTNTGTAGTACTACCTGAGTACTGTAGTTCCTGAGTACTGTAGTACCTGAGCTCCAGAACCTGCCGGAGTTAAATCACCTTTTGGTGTGAAGTCTCCAGAACCTGCCGGAGTTAAATCACCTTTTGGTGTGAAGTCTCCAGAACCTGCCGGAGTTAAATCACGTTTTGGAGCCAAATCTCCAGAACCAGCAGGAATTAAATCACCTTTTGGAGCCAAATCTCCAGAACCAGCAGGAATTAAATCACCTTTTGGAGCCAAATCTCCAGAACCAGCAGGAATTAAATCACCTTTTGGAGCCAAATCTCCAGAACCAGCAGGAATTAAATCACCAAGAGGCCTCAAGTCCCCAGAACCTTCAGGCATCAAATCACCAAGAGCCTTGAAGTCCCCTGAACCCGAGGGCATCAAATCCCCTCCTGGGTGAAGTCCCCCCCTCCAATTATGTCGCCCAAGAGAGTTGCGTCCCCTCCCACGGTCAAATCCCCGGTCCCGAAACCTCCTAAAGTCGTGAGTCAAGTGATGGCCGAGGCCAGCGAGGGCTCAGTCCGGATGTCCTGCGTCTGCGAGAGCAGCGTCCGGGAGGCGGTGTGGTTCGTCAACGGGAGGAGGCTTTCCCAGAGCAGCCACTTCGAGATGCACTACTCTGAGGGCTCCTGCAGCCTGCTGATCCACGACCTGGCCGACAGCGACCAGGGAGAGTACACCTGCGAGATGACGTCCGAGGGAGGAGTATCCAAATCGTCATTCTCCTTCACCGGACAGGTGTTCCAGTCCATTCGCATGAAGGTTACGGCCTACCACGAACAGCAAGTGGCACTTAAAGGTGAGCCTCGAGTATCCAAGCACATTTAGCCCAATGTCATGCTAATTAAAGACAACCATGAAATAGGAATACCTCATCCCTGAAGTGTACCATTTGTAGGTCAATGCTAACTCTCACGTCTTGAATTAAAGTGCTTTGAGAACAGCATGACTATAGGGGTACAAACCCTCACACACATTTAGTCTCATGTATCAATAGTATCCTCATTACTTTGCAAGTCATGACTTTTACCTAAAAACTATGCAAACGCAATCCTAATTTTCTTCCAATTTACTACATTTTCTGATTCTTCATTCACCAACGAGGTAACACAGGAAGACTAGTGTCCTTTAGTGGGTACTCCTCTTTACTTCGTAGTCATTCTAAAGACATATGAAACATTTCCGTGTCTCCCCCGATCAGGATCGATGGCGATGAGTCTTAAGGAGTCTTCACTGTCCTCCGTGAGCTCGTCCATGAGCTCGTCCATGAGCTCGTCCATGATGATGAAGAAAGAGATGCACGCGATGCAGGAGTCTTCCTCCTTCTCCTCTTCCTCCGCCCAGCAGGCCATGATGTCGTCCATGATGGAGTCCAGCTCCATGGGCAGCATGGCCGCTGAGATGAAGTTCGAGACCATGTCCATGTCCAGTATGTCCTCTTTGACGTCCGAGACGTACGCCATGAGCTCCAGCAGTAGCATGGCGGAGGGTTCAGCGTTCAGAGCGATCGGTAAGAGATTCAAGGCTTTAATTGTCATTTGTCCATAGCTTCAGTGCAGATACAGTATGTCAATGAACATCTTAGGTCACAGCGGTCCAACGGTGCAATATAATAAAACAGACAAAATAGTTCAAATAGTGCAAAGTAATACAAATAAAATAGAATAGAAATAGTGCGAAGAGAGTCTGGAACAACTCTGTTTGATCTCTGGGGGCATGTTAAGTTGCTGTCTCCTCTAATATTGAATCTGAGCTAATGTTCATGTTCTGTATGTTCCAGGTTCTGCCCCCAGGATCGAGGCTCTGCCGGAGGACATCAGCATCGAGCCGGGCAAAGTCCTGACGGTCACCTGCGCCTTCTCCGGAGACGCCAAACTCATCCAGTGGTCTCGCGGCGGGAAGAACATCGAGGTGACCGCCGGCGGACGCTTCCACATCGACACCACGGAGGACCTGACCACGCTCATCATCACCGGCGTGAAGGAGGAGGACGCCGGGACGTACACCCTGAAACTGTCCAACGAGCTGGGCTCCGACTCAGCAACCGTCCACATCAGCATCCGATCAGTGTAAAAAAAAAAAAATCTCAAACCCTATCGTCCCCTTTTCCCTTCTTCCGTGCCTTTTTATTTATTAATTAAGAAATAATCTACTTAATAACGATCTGGATTTCTGTTCTTGTAAATATGAACTATTTTTGTACCAATCTTGACATTAATTTATGCCAAACTAGACTACAGTCTAACGTTGATAAAATGTGCCATATTGGATAACTATGACTTAGGATTCTTAATCCATTTTTCTGTGACATGTACATAATGTATATAGCCGAATTGAACGGTTATGGGAAATGTATGCATTGTTATTTATGACAATAATAGTAACTGAAACAAAAGAAACTGAATGTGGTCTAACTGGAGAAAGTTCTACTAGGAACGAATACCCTGTTAGGCTAAGAAACTAAACTCTGTGCCTCAACGACGCGTTGAAGTCTAAAGATTGCCTCAACAGGTAGAGAGGCTCCCTGTTGACGTTACTGAGACAGATATATAATATATAAGAATGCACTGCGCTGCATAGAAACTGAGGCGAGACCCTGAGTGCTGTTTGCATATACCCTCATGTAAGCAGCCCGACTGGGCCTCGCGCTCTGACGGATTATGTCATACCGCCATTTCGATGACATGCTCACAGTGCGGGCGGCTGCACTCCCTGAGCGACTGTTTCTTTTTGTTTTGTGCTCCGGCTCTGCAGGCGACCCCGGCCCGGCTCTCAGTAACATCGCATCACGAGAGCAGAGCCCGGCCGGCGCTGGTCTGCAGAGGCGGAGCTGTCTCTCGGAGCGCTGCAGTGTGTGTGTGTGTGTGTGTTAGATATTAGCAGTCAGTCAGCGGGCGAGGGGAGGAGTCCCGCTCTTTCTTAGACTGAAGGTAGAGACGTAGGTTTTGCAGCCTCCTTGAGTTTTTCTCCAGTTATTGATTTAATAAAGCATGATTATCAGCACTAACCGTGTCTCCTGAGTCTCCTTTCCTTTGTGTCTTTCTTCTGGTTTAATTGGGAATATCACATTTATATTACACTTCATACTCAGGGTCACATGTCCAGGTTTCACTTATCGAGCTCACCGTTTTTAGTTAAAACATTATTTAAAAGTTGTAGTTTATTTAGTATGTTAAAATAATTCATAAAAAGTCATAGGACAGTGTCTCGTGAGAATAAAAATTGTACTTCCTAATAAAAATCATTAAAGTTAAAGTTAGTAAATAAGTAAAAACATCTAAGATTAATAGTGAAGTGTGTCAGAATGTTATATCAGAAAGTCATAGTATTGTCCTTCATAAAGTAACGGTATATTCAGTTTAGAAAAGCATGAGAAATTGAGGATGAGATAAGTCCTGTTATATATCTTTAAAAAAAAACATATAGTATAGTATGTGAGGAATACTATCCACATAACTCAGTGTTTAGAGCGGCACAGCTCAGGCTTGATCCACATAAAGATAAATATTCGTAATATCATTTAAAATATCCACAAATCCGATATAGTAGAGTTTGTCGACACTATAGAAAAGTATGAACGGGACAGTATGTAGTATCAGAAAGAAAACACGGTTTAGCATGTGGAACAAGTGAAAAGAAAAACATGAAATATTAAAATGGTATGTTAAAAAGAAAAGCTTTAGTGATGTGAACATGCAGTGTGTCCTGGTGGCCTCACAGTGGCAGTGTTGGCCTGTTGGGAAACTGCTGCCTCACACACACACACACACACACACACACACACACACACACACACACACACACACACACACGCACACACACAGGGAGGGAACAGTGTGTGATATCCTGTATATTCATATATCAAACCCGGCCAGAGGACTTCAGACTAAAGGCTATACGACAATGTAACGAGGATCAGGAGTCCTGGAGGTGGTTCTAAAGGGGAAGCCAGTGTAAAGAAAGCAGATGTTGATACACCTCAGACCTCACACACACTCTGACACACCTGCAGCATCTTCGACCATGTGTGCAGGAGGAGGAAGTCCAAGGTGGAAACAGAAGAGCTGCAGGAAATAATCATCTCCAATCAGCTCAGGGGCCCATGGGTCCACCTCAGTGGTGCCTGAGTACTGTAGTACTGAGTACTGTAGTTCCTGAGTACTGTAGTACTGAGTACTGAGTACTGAGTACTGAGTACTGAGTACTGTAGTTCCTGAGTACTGTAGTACCTGAGTACTGTAGTACTGAGTACTGAGTACTGAGTACTGAGTACTGTAGTACCTGAGTACTGTAGTCCTGAGTACTTAGTACCTGAGTAATAGTACTGTAGTACCTGAGTACTGTAGTACCTGAGTATTGAGTACTGTAGTACCTGAGTACTGTAGTTCCTGAGTACTGTAGTACCTGAGTACTGAGTACTGTAGTACCTGAGTACTGTAGTACTGAGTACTGTAGTACCTGAGTACTGTAGTTCCTGAGTACTGTAGTACCTGAGTACTGTAGTACCTGAGTACTGTAGTACCTGAGTACTGTAGTACCTGAGTACTAGTACTGTAGTACCTGAGTACTGTAGTACCTGAGTAATAGTACTGTAGTACCTGAGTACTGTAGTACCTGAGTAATAGTACTGTAGTACCTGAGTAATAGTACTGTAGTACCTGAGTACTGTAGTACCTGAGTAATAGTACTGTAGTACCTGAGTACTGTAGTACCTGAGTACTGTAGTACCTGAGTACTGTAGTACCTGAGTAATAGTACTGTAGTACCTGAGTACTGTAGTACCTGAGTAATAGTACTGTAGTACCTGAGTACTGTAGTACCTGAGTACTGTAGTACCTGAGTACTGTAGTACCTGAGTACTGTAGTACCTGAGTACTGTAGTACCTGAGTAATAGTACTGTAGTACCTGAGTACTAGTACCTGAGTAATAGTACTGTAGTACCTGAGTACTGTAGTTCCTGAGTACTGTAGTACCTGAGTACTGTAGTACCTGAGTACTGTAGTAGTACTGAGTACTGTAGTACCTGAGTAATAGTACTGTAGTACCTGAGTACTGTAGTACCTGAGTACTGTAGTACCTGAGTAATAGTACTGTAGTACCTGAGTATTAGTACTGTAGTACCTGAGTACTGTAGTACCTGAGTAATAGTACTGTAGTACCTGAGTAATAGTACTGTAGTACCTGAGTATTAGTACTGTAGTACCTGAGTATTAGTACTGTAGTACCTGAGTACTGTAGTACCTGAGTAATAGTACTGTAGTACCTGAGTAATAGTACTGTAGTACCTGAGTATTAGTAGTACATGAGTAATAGTACTGTAGTACCTGAGTATTAGTACTGTAGTACCTGAGTACTGTAGTACCTGAGTAATAGTACTGTAGTACCTGAGTACTGTAGTACTGAGTACTGTAGTACCTGAGTAATAGTACTGTAGTACCTGAGTACTAGTACTGTAGTACCTGAGTACTGTAGTTCCTGAGTAATAGTACTGTAGTACCTGAGTACTGTAGTACCTGAGTAATAGTACTGTAGTACCTGAGTACTGTAGTACTAGTACTGTAGTACCTGAGTACTGTAGTTCCTGAGTAATAGTACTGTAGTACCTGAGTACTAGTACTGTAGTACCTGAGTACTGTAGTTCCTGAGTA